CGAGTCTCAGTACCGGCAGGGATTGTAGGTGGGGGGAGTGAATGTACAGCACTCTCTTCCACCTTCAACACCCACGACTGAGGTGAGACACTTGAGCAAGACACTGAACCCCCAACTGCTCCCCGGGCGCCACAGCAATATGGCTGCCCACTGCTCCAGGTGTGTGTTCACGGTGTGTGTGTGTGTTCTCATGGTTAGATTTGAGTTCTTCAACTGATCTGATTCTGCACCTCTGCAGATGCTGTTTTCTGCGAGAGCACAGAGGAATGCTCTCCTGAGGACAAACAGAGACGAGCCAAGCATACCTTTGAGGAGATGATGAACTACCTGCCAGGTACCTCATAACAGCTGCACTGATCGCTTGTTTGTGACAAGCCCTGTTTTTGAGCCAGACCTCAAGTACGTTTTCCTGTCCGTGTCGAGATGCAGCAGGTTTATGGTTATGTGTTGTCATTTGAAGGTTTTGAACACAAATAATAAAATGCAACTAACCATATAAAGGAGTGCAGGATAGTCAGCATTTAGAAGGGAGGAGAAATACTTTTATCTGCAAATATTGTTAGGCAGTTAAATCTTATCATGTTGACAAAAATTTCAAAGGAACATCTCTAATTGATGTGTGGTGTTTCTCAGGTCTGGTCGGGAAATGTATCGGTGAGGAAGCAAAGTATGAGGGCGTCAAGATGCTTTTCAACACCATTCAGCAGCCACTGCTCAACAAACAGGTGCAAACTGCCATACACTCATCTAACGTCCTCAAACGTAACTCACACTCTCTGCTCCCTTCTCTTTATTGACCTCTTGTTTGCTAATAGATGACGTACGTGCTGCTTGACATCGCTGTCCAGGAGCTGTTCCCAGAGCTCAGTGAGGTAACGCTCTCCTGCACCACTCACACTGTGACACAGAGCAGCTCATGATGTTTATTAATGGAGCTTCTGCCGTTTTGTATTTTGTAGAATCAGAAGGCAGGTCTCTCCGTCTCCACTAAATGGATGTAAAACATTATCGGACTTGACATCAACATTATAAAGCGTTTATTGCACTACTAAAATACAATTATTTATTGACTTTAATGGGGTTTGTTTGCCATGGTTATTCGTTGAATCATTGGAACCCTGCCTTATTTGACCAGTCTGGTTTAAATCGTAACAGCATTATAACAAAAGGTTTGGATCAAGTAGATTATGTGACATAATGTCATTATCAGTATGATAACATTCTTCAGACCTGATGTAAATAAACCATTTTACACTCTTGATGGTCCCTGAAGATGCTCAAAAAGACACAGAATACAGACAAGTAAAAAAAAAATCAAAATCAAAAACAGAACTGAGACATTTCATATGTCACACAGTTAAGAGCCATGTGCAAAATAAAAGTACTGAAAACATGTTTTGTAAATGTTCTGGCTTTGCACGCAGTAAATAAAATCGTAATATATCCAGCTTCTTTGTCCCTGGTTATGTATATCACAATAAATGATTAAAAAAGAAAATCTATATAAAATAAATGCTTTATAAAAATATGAATAGCTACCTTGTGAAAAAGGGATGGAGATTTCTTGCCAGAAAAACCACTATCTATAATCACCACAAGTTGTGATGTTTAATGAATCATAATCAGGAAACATGACAAATTAAAGATAAATAACTTCACCCTTTTTATAAGAATATCAGGAAAAGATGTACAGGTCATAATTGAGGAAAATATATTATGAAAATATATTTCGAGTAAAGAAAATGTACTCTGTTTTAGGACATCAAGATTTTTTGCTTTGCAAAAAAAAAAAAAAAAAAAGTGTTTAATACAACAAAAATTATCCAATTGATAAAGTCAACATGAATTAAGTCATACTACCATGTTGTATGATATAAACCCTACTTTACACTCTAAATTTATTTCCACATCACAATCATGAGAATTTGGGAGTTATGATTAGCTGAATTATCATGAAATATTACAAAATAGGCCTAAAAAAATAGGCTCTTGTAAGCAAAAAGGATTTTGAAGTGAAATATGATCTAGACATTTCTTTGTGAGATTCAGCATAGTATACCCTCTATGAGTGCTATGAGCTTTATGTATAAAGAGGTATAGAAAATGCCTGTATAGACCAATGTCAGTGTTTGCAAACAGTCTATCTGGTGGCAGAAAATGCCAGTTTTAACGTAGCAGTCTACGCAAGCCATGAAATAAAAGAATAAAAAAAGGTATATTTAGAGTTTTTATTTCAAAATTCTGACTTTTTTCTTGCAATTCCGAGATTATATCAACTCGTCGTTCTCTCTTTTCCCCTCGGCTCAGAATCATGAGTTTATAATCCCACACTTCTGGCTTTTTTTCCCCCTCAGAATTGGCAAACTCGCAATTGTTGAGGTAAATCAAGTTATAAAGTCCGAACTAGGAGATATAAACTTGCATTTGAGAAAAAAAAAAGTCAGAATTGTGAGTTAAAACAGGTAGGCTAAATGTAATGTAAAATGTTATAGTTTAAATAGTATAACTGTAGGGCTAATACAATATGTCCCCAATGTGAATATTATATAGACCTATTGTTTAAATCAAATTTATGCTTTAAAAGTAGGGTAATCGTAGGAGGTTTCATCCATAGTTTGTCCGTTTAAACGTCTGCGTTTAGCTTCAAATGGCGTCTTTGACGACAGTATTATATAAAAATTATTTGCATTCTGATTCTGACATCCAAAAGCACAACAATACGTTTTTTCTCTTATTCCATGGATTTTACCCATTTCCCTCCACTTGTTCCCAGTGTTTTTCTGCCACCACAATGCACGCGCAGCTGCAAGTGACGTAACTGTGACGTCTACTCCAAATTGGTCTATAGAAGATCCCTATAGAATACGACCTTGTGTAACAAGACGAGTGACTTTCTTTGATCCGTACTACATCACAGTGCTGCTAATCTCTTTGAGTAAGCTTTGCTTCTATGACAGTAACTAATCTTTGGGTCAAAGGTTTCCTCTGACTGTACAATTATACACAAATGGTTACATGCTTTTCTCACAAGTACAATAAAAACGGCTAAACAAACATGACCCAGAGTACCCACACCAGCAGAATAGTGGACAAATATCCTCGATGTCCAATACAAGAGCTTGAAAACCGAATCCGTCCTTCCACAGCTGGATGAATTCTCTTTCTCTCCGAGATGTAGCTGGCAAAAACTGCTATATCCAGGTCGCCTATGGAATATGGTACACAGTATATTGTAATGCTAAGTATATGATGAAATGTGCAGTAAAATGTGCATATATATAATGACTTACCACTGTCATGCTTGAGTTTCTGTTCTTTGATCATAGAGTATCCATCCCCTCCGTCCACTAGGTAAGAGGGCAGCACCACTTTATACACCTTCTTTGGGTTGAGCGGTTCATAACGGGGCACTCGACACTCAATGCAGAGCACATTCACACTTTTAACACGGTTTCCAGGTGGTTTCAATAAATCATACACCAGCTGAAACCCTGCAGAGGCATTATAAACCGTATAAAATGAATACTAGTTGGGACATATGGACTTGTTTTATAATGCTTTAAGTTCATAACGTTTGTCCATGGGATTCCAGTACTCCGATTGAGGGGAAATATAGATTCGAATATAATTCCCAAGGTAAACGCACCTGCCACCTGTAGAAATTCACCAGTGCTTTCTCCGTATCTGCGAACTGAGTGCTCAAAGACCTCGCGCAGAGTAGAGCCATTCATTTGGACCAGGTCAAATGTACCTCCAAATGGCAACACCGCGATCAGATCCTCCATCGTGATGGAACCTTCAGTCGAAACATGCATTGGGACGCTTTAAGTATTATTTCTATTATGCACTGGAGTTTTGTTTAAGATTTTGAAAGGTAATATAAATATATACTGTATACTGCTCAAAAAATTAAGGGGATGCGTAATTATCACAGTATAACACCAAGCCAATTAAACTAAAGGCATATCGATCTGTCCAGTTAGGAAGCAAAAGTGAAAATGAGATGGTGTAAATGAAAGCAGGATAAAGCCGTACCATTTCTGTTTCGCTCATCAATAGGTGATCGAATGGCTCCACCGTTCAGAATACAAGAGCTGACATGGTTCCACTGGATTTCATCAGCATATTTAATATTATTATGGACCTGAAATACAAGCGGAAAGGGTCTATGGGTCTTATGAGCATGATTTTGAGCAAATCTACCATCTTAAAATAGCAATTTCCGTTTTCACTGGTTAAAATCTTTGCTCTTTGGACCATTGTTGTTACTTTTCGAGATTTGATTTCCTTCTGAGACTGCTGATAGTTCATATTGGGATTGAGGTTTTGCAGCTGAGCGCTTTGGCTGAGCGATAAGTGCTTGATTGAACTGTTTCAGGCACAAAGATTGTTTTTGAATGCGTGTTTGTTTGCACCTGGTATGAGTACCTTTCTTGTGAACCAATTACAAGTCAAGAAAAGACAGATGTTAATACAAGATGCAAACAAACACATATTCAAAAACAGTCACATAATCTGTGTCTCTGCATGTTGATATCAGGCAGACTACCATGTTGTATGATGTAAATCCTACTTTACACTTTAAATTTATTTCCACATTGCAATCATGAGAATTTGGGGTTATGATTAGCTGAATTATCATGAAATATTACAAAATGGGTCTAAAAAATAGGCTTTTTTTTAAGCAAAAAGGATTTTGAAGTGAATCTTTTGTGAGATACTGAAGAACACGTGTGAACATTTGGCATGCTTGACCTTTCCAATTTTTTGATGTAATGGATATTTTATTTTAAAGCTGCTTGTAACCAGCAATGGTTGATTGATGAGATCAGTGGATGGTCCTACAAATGTGATGTATTTACATGCCTCCAAATGTGCTTGGGAGATTACAGAACACTCTGGACTCAGTTTAAAACAGTTTACTGCCTTGTGACTGAATGCATTTATAGCCATTAAGGTTGGGTGTTAGTTCCATCTAGAGTAGTCCTCATGTCCATGAAAAACGATATGCAAAATAATGCTATCAAAATAAAATAAATGCATAAGAATAACAGCAAATTTATCTTTAAAATCGCAGACTTATGTACTCACCATGGCATCACAGATTAAATTTCCCAAATTACATTCACGAAATCGACATTCCTCAAAAGTCCCATTGAGATAGACTAGAGTCTGTCCCACATACTGAGAAGAGTAATTGGCCAGATTCTTCCTCCAAGCGTCCACTTCAGCCTGAATGACTGGATCTAGACAAAGTCAGGTCACAGGTTGACAGATTGAAACTGGCAATTCACAATAGAAACACATCACATCTGATAGATACAGTGTAGTACAGGGGTGTCCAGTCCTGCTTCTGGAGGGCCAACATCCAACCTGCTCCAACACACCATCCTGGAAGTTTCTAGTCCTCCTGAAAACCTTGATTCAGGAGTCTTTAATTTGGGTTGGAGCTAAACTCTCCAAGACAGTGGCCCTTCAGGAGCATGACTGGGCCCCCGATATATTATAGTAGTATATTCATGTCCATTGAGTGCACCAAGTATTTTCCTGTTCATGTTCTCCATAAGGATTTTGAAAATGTCTTTAATCAAGTTTACAACATTACAAACTTGAAGCAAATCTGGAAAAATCCAGGAAAAGACGAGAATTTGCTCACAGATTTAGTTGTAGGCTGTATTACACTTTTATTTGAGCAGAATTTCTCATTAGAGATTGCTAAAATCCAACTTTCCATGTTTGCCAGTGTTTTCAGCTCATCAGCGCTTTTTCCGTAATGTAGAGAGAGCACATGTGAATGAATGGTAGCCAAGTTGGAAGATAAAATAAACCACAGGGCAAAAAATGCATTCATTCAAGATAAAAGCTTGTTTAAGGATAAATAAATTAATAAATTGAGAGTAGCAGAAATCGATCACAATTCAAATATGATTTGTCGTGCAGCCCTATCTGAACTGAACCAACACTGAACTGAGCAGAATAGTGACACTGTTGTCTTTTAGAGCTGCTTTGAAGCAGAATCTGAATTGTGTCCATAGATGAGTTTCCATAATTGGTTTGCTACTGTGAAGCTGCTATGGCATGATCTGTACTGTATAATGCACTATAGAAATAAAGGTGGCTTGACTTACAGTCATTGATTAAGTATAAAATGATCTATCTGAAGTGTACATGTCGACCAACTCAATAACAACCTTGGCAAAAGCTTCACTGACGTGGGCGGTTGCTGCTCAACTCCCTAGTTACAGTTTTCATTTTCATGATAACAGAACATTCTTAGCTCAGAATTTGACCACTGAACACACTGTTTAAAAAAA